TGGGGATTGTCCACCATACGCGAGTGCCACAACGGCACTACATGTTATTCGTGTAAATTGCGTTTCACAATAAACGTCACGAACATTATTACTTATATAAATCTAATTGTGTTTATAGTGTTTATACAATGTAATCTTAATTTTTCACATATTTTTTTTTACCTTTTGCAACTTTTAAAACTTGAATGGTAATTTATACATTTATTAACTTTTTAAATTAAAAATAATGTACTCAACATTTTGACTCGTCGAAATAGTTTTTTCTTAAAGTTATAAGAGTTTAAAAATTAAGATGGGAAGGGAAGTGCGGTTGAAAAGTGTGCGCAGATAAAAATAATTGAAACTTCAGTAACTTCAAAAATAGTTATCAATCTTGCTAACAACGGTAAAAACGGTAAGAGAAGGGTAAAAACAAAAAAATTATGAACAATTAATTTCACATTGTATAAACACAATATGAAAAAAAAAATTAAATGTTTTATTGAACCCTTTGAGATATTGAGTGGTTCACGATAAAATGATCATCCTGTAAATATATGTTGTCGATAAAAATGGAACAGGCGAACCACTTAGAAAAACTGTAATTCTTCAAATAGTGAAAATATGTTTCCACATTTAATAAGCCCATAACTTGAATTTATCGGAATGCCACGCTAGCTTAATTTGTTTAAACACTAAAGTTTTTTCCCAAAGAAACCTAAACCATATTGGGAGCGATTCTATGTGTTAACATTTATTGTATGACAATAATATTGAAAAATATAATAAATGTAATGAAGACAAGGGAAAAGAGTTTAATTGGGCAAAATAGGTTTCAATTTGGGCAAATCAAAACCCTATGCATACTAAAAACTAATAAACATCATCTGCACCTTCTCCGGATGTCCAAACAAGGTAGTCTTAACAAATTGTCACGTAAATTAAAATAATACTCTCCATAAAAACCTCTCAACAGATTCAACGTCACCAAAACTTCTACAAACGATTCTATTTCAAACTATACTATGGCCGCCATCTTCGAACTTCTGTCTTATCCATTCTTTACTATCCCAGGTTACCTTCGAAGTGCTTCTAAATTATTACAAATTTCTCGCGATACCATAGGATTCTATCAATGTGTAATTTTGTTTATCAAAAACCCTGCATTTTTACATGTATTAGTATTTATTTATACTATCGAGCTACCACTAAGTTGATACGTGTGAAAATGTTTTTAATTTTAATTTTGTATTGTATCTTTCATTTGTAGAAATGGAGAAAGGAGAGTCAACTAGAGGAACTGTACGACAAGGAATTTTTAAAATCGTTAACCTTTGTGTCAACTTTGAATAACTTCAAAATTGAACTCGAAGACAATGACATTAATTTGCTTTCATCTGAATGTGAAAATATCTCAAATTTTAAAAACAAAAAAAAGTCCATCGAAAAATATCAAAAAATAATGAAAGCGGTCTTATTTGTTAACCAAGACTAAATAGGCATAATTATGAAAAAACAAAAGCTTTTAAACTAATAAAACCAAACTAGCATCGCCTTGAAGTTAATTTGTGATTTTGGTCTATCAAGCACCCTGCACACTGAAAGATAATAAAAAATACATTTTGAAAAAGTAAATAGATTAATATAAAACATAAAATTAGATATATAGAATATATGTATATATTTGTATATATACTTACTCCATGTTATGGCATGGAGTAAGTTTTAAACATGTTAACGTAATAGGGCAAAAAAGTAAAAAAAACTTATATAAACTACTCTAAACATAGAACTATTGATACATTTTGAGAAACCAAAAAAAATATCATAAGCCTTTCCCCCCAGAGAGGTGGAAATTTATTCTTTATATTACTTTTTTAGTTAATGTTTTACGGTTTAAGGCCTAAAAAAACGACCAAAGGTAGATCTAAAATCTCAAAATTCTATCGTCAAGCTTTTTTTTTTATTAAGGAAAACAAAAAAAGGGGGAAATTGCTCATTAACCGTTAGTTTCTAGTCAACAGGTATTTGAAAATAATTTCATTACATTATTAATCACTTATAGCAACCTAGAAATTGACTACATTCAATGTGTAGTTTTTCCAGTTTTTCCATGTATTTTACAAACATTTTTAATTCTAGCTAAATTGTCTGTTTTGTACAAAAGCCAACGTGTTTAACGTGCAATACGTGTTGTATTCTTTGATAATGTAGAGTGTAGACAAAAGAATAGTTTGTGAATAAGAATAGTAAGAACTTACCATTTGTTTACATTACAATAGTCGCTGTAAAAATTAGCTTGGGTTTGATAAACAATAATCTAATATTGGATTGAAATTTACAGGATAAATGATTTTACAAAAACTCCTTGTAATAAGTTATTATTAAAAAACATTTCCGATTTATGAAAACGCAATACATTAACTGTATATAAATTTAAAAAAATAGGTACTAACCACAGTTATTATAACAATAAGGTTCTATAATACATTCGAATACAAGCATCAAATCAAAATTTGTTACAAAAAAAAGCTCGTATTTTCATTTATTTACACTTCCTCAATCAAAGCAGATAACAATTTACCTTCAATTAAAAAAACTACAATAAAACTATACACATTTTTTTTAATAAAATTTGACAATCATCTTAAAACATATAATATTATAATACAAACCAAATAAACAAATGCTCTAATTAATGTATCTCTAAACTCATTATTAACAATATTCGAGTTATAGTCATAATAATTAAATTCCATGTTGGGATTTATTAACAATTACGTTATTATTAGGTACTAAGAGTAGTTGAAACGCTCAACCAGGTTATCGTTTTATTGCGAGTATACCACATTTTTGCCGATTTGCAGAATAAAAATTTTGATTAGGTATAATTTAAAGCAAAAAATTCAGATTTTGTCCGAAATAATTAAGAACATAGACATGTTTATATTGACAAAACATTTAACACGCCCAATTAATTAAATGTACGTATCAGAGTGGATACAATGTACTTATTAATCACATTAAAATAACAATGGCTTTTCTAACTTTTAAAAAAAAAAAAACTATAATCCCCATATAAGCTCGATTCTATATTTTTGTCTTGGGTAAAGAAACAGTCGAATCTGATATTTTTATTTTTGCGAGTTCGTTGTCGGTTATCGTTTGCACGAATTGTTTTGTAAGTTTAAAATTGTATACATAGCTCTCCGCTGAGATCCCGCCTATAATATTAAGTAAACGTAATATTATACTCTACTTGGTATGCTTCATTGTAATGTAAATATGTTATTCACAACGAAAAATGACAAATGTGGCTTATGTTAACAAATTCGCATAAACAACTCTGCAAAATACATCTAGATTTCATTGTTTCGGTCGGCAATATATAAGCTATTCGGTCTGTCGTAAAAAAAACCATTGAATCAGCCTGTATAACTATCATTGCACTTATTTGGTAAGTATTATATTTATTATTATTGTATACGGGCTGGGCCCTTTTTACATAAATATATATATATATATATACACAATTCAACAGCAACTTATAAACAAAACTTAACATATTTTACATAAAAAATTAGGCTTAAAAATTAAAATTAAAATTAGGATCCACATTGGCATTTGACATTAGCCGTCGTAATGGTTTATTTGCTAAATAATTAGTGGTGGCACGTGGGACGTAAAAAGGAGCATTAGTTCGAGATGAACGCTGAGGCACTTTAAAACAAAGTAGTGAAACAAGTGCAGACGATTTAACTTTGCCATTTAACAACCCATCAATAAACCTAATACCAGCAGTGCGTCTCCGCTCGGCCAAGGAAGGTAAGCCCAGTATATTAGCTACAGGGCTATAATTGTGTGGCGGACAACGAATTTTAAGCAGGTAACTAGCAAAGCGCAAAAACTTACGCTGGACTCTCTTTAATTGCATCAAATCACCTGCTGTATGGGGTTCCCAGACAACACAACCATACTCCAGTATCGGACGCACAAGAGCGCAAAATAACACTTTAACAGACATACTTAGCCTAAAGTCTTTTGCCAACCTCATAACAAAACCAAGTGTTTTAAATGCCTTACAGCACACATATTCAATATGTGGTCTAGGGTCAAGGTTATAGCGAAAACTTTAAGCCTAAATCCATTACATAATCGGATTCTCGTGTAATTTCGTTTATACTAAGCCTATATGAAAAAACAACTGGAGATAGGATCCTAGAAAATGTAAAAACCTTACACTTTTGTAACGGACATACTTGTCTAGCTGGCTAGACTAGGCAAAGTAGCCGTCGATAAGGCTAAAAAAGACGGATCCCCACGGTAAAACGGTTGGCTAGGTCGCTGTCTACGTCTAATTGGCCTTAAAGTCTCCTTTATTAACTTAATATATCGCCCGAGGAGCTAGAACGGGCGGTGACACTGTTAAATAATCTAACTCTCAGCTGCAGGCTACAAGATGTTTTATTCTAAATTAAGGTAATATAAAAAGGTTAAATAAAATACAAAATTATACAATATATATATATATAGATATATATATACACTCTGACCTGGGTTGGACGATGAAATGGTTGGTCAAAGCGGAGTTGAAACGGACGCACACAAAAGATAGTGACGTGCATTGTCCTGTATATGCGACCGTTCCCCTACCTATAGTCGGGGGTGCTGTGTCAGTAGGTTTGGGACGCGAAGTAACGGTCAGGTGAAATATGATCGTTACACTTTGAAAGATTTAGGGATAAACCCAATGCACTTAACCATTTAGAAAAGTTATCAAAGTCAGCTTGTAATTTAAGACAATCCTCAATATTACATACTCGCAAGTATAATTTGATGTCATCCGGAAAACTAATCGCAGATGTTATAGAAATAATAGAATAATATTTATGTTATATAAAAATAAAGCAAAAACGAAATGTTTTTATTTGTTTTTTCTATGGTATGTTAAGAATTGGGGGGTTTGGCTTGCCAAGAAATATTATCGAATTCATAGTATATTTTACTAATAACGTGTGTAGACGTGTGTACAGTGTTCTGTGTTCTGTGTTTCTGTTGTGTAAAATTAATTTTATTAAAATAATATAATGAAACGAACTCAGTCATTGTTAACTTTTTTTAAAAAATCTAAACAGTCAACCGATCTGGAACGAACTGTTCCATCTTTATCAAATGTTTTCCAAGATGAAGACACTGTGGCATCTGAAGCAAAACAAGCCGCTTCAAGTGTAGAAGTTAGTTCTCCGGTAATTAAACATATTTTAGATTCTAAGTTTGATATAGGAGCTTATGTTGAGTTTAAACAAAATTTAAGTGACGAAGAAAATGTTTCTATTTTACAAAACGTATGGACCCCTGATTGTAAGTTTGATTTTCCATATGATACTACTGGAAAATATAAACGTAAATTTCAAATTAAATGGCTTGACACTTTTAAATGGTTGGCTTATTCAAAATTAAGAGAAGGTTCTTTTTGTAAATACTGTGTATTGTTTTTTAATTCAAGTCAGGCTGGTAAGGGTTCTCATGAGCAGTTAGGCAAACTTGTTTTAAAACCCTTGACGAAATTGAAAGATACATTGGAAGAGTTCAGAAATCACGAAAAAAATAAATATCATAAAAATTCGTTGCTTACCGCTGATAACATAAAGGCTATTTTAGATACAAAACAAGATAATATATTGGTACAATTAAATAATAAACGAAAGGATGAAATTTTAAAAAATCGCGAAAAACTTAAACCAATTATTCAAACAGTTAGATTATGTGGCAGACAGCAAATAGCGTTAAGGGGACATGAGGATTCTGGTCGAATCTCTTTAGAAGAACCAAAAAATAACGATGGTAATTTCCGTTGTTTGCTTCGATATCGCGCAAAAAATGGTGATAACGTATTAAAAGAACATTTAGAAACTAGTGGTGGTAAATCTATGTATACAAGCTCACTTATACAAAATGAAATAATTAATGTGTTTGGGGAATTAATTCAATTAAAAATACTTGAAAAAGTATCAAAAACAAATTTTTATACAATACTAGCAGATGAAACCACTGACATATCTCAAGTTGAACAATTTTCCTTATGTATTCGTTATGTTGACGAGGAAATTTTTTCAATTCGAGAAGATTTTCTCACATTTGTTCCCGTTCATGATTTATCTGGTGAAGGATTGGCCAACACGATTAAAGAAACTTTAAAAAAAAATGGGTTTGATTTAAGCAAAATACGAGGCCAAGGTTATGACGGGGCAGCAGCAATGCGTGGTCGTTTTAGAGGTGTTCAGGCAATCATTAAAGATATGTACCCAAAAGCATTATACACACACTGTGTAGCACATTCATTAAATCTTTGCTTATCAGATGCGTCTAAATCTCTAGATATTCGAAATGCTTTTGGTATAATAAGTGAATGTTGCTCATTTTTTAACTGTTCGGCAAAACGAACTACAGTCCTTAAAAATAAAATACTAGAAATTAAACCAAATTCACAATCCACTAAATTAAAATCTTTATGTGAAACTCGATGGGTATTACGCCATGAAGCAGTTATGCTTTTTAAAGAATTTTTAGAACCCATTCTTGCTGCATTAGAACAACTGCAGAATGAATGTTCTGGAACGGATTCTTCAATAAGGACTAATAGTCTTTTACATTGTATTTGTAATTTTAATTTTTTAATATCTGTTTGCGTATCTAGTAAATTATTAAGTTACACTTATAATTTATCTAAATATTTACAAAGTAAAAATATCGATCTTTTTAACGCTCTTAAACAAGTTACCCAGGTGGTTTCTGTGTTAAATACCATAAGAGAAAACGTTGATTTAAAATTTAACGATTTTTATAAAGACAGCCAAGGTATTGCTATAAAGTTAAATGTTGAACCAAAAATACCTCGAACATGCAGCAATCAAAAAAATAGAAGCAATGTCCCGTTTAATAATATTGAAGATTTTTACAAAAAAACTATTTTTATACCGTATTTGGACGATTTAATAATGGCATTAAATGAAAGATTTTTACCTCATAATGAAACTATAATTTCATTACAATTTGTCTTACCTCGTATCATAGTTGAAAAACCATTCTTTAATTTTAAAAAAAGCTGTCGAATTTTATAAAAGTGATTTACCTGGGCTAAACGACATTATAGAAGCAGAGTATGAAATTTGGCAGGCTAAATGGAAAAATATTGAAGAAAACTTAAGACCTGCAACTGCTATAGAAGCTCTAAGAGCCTGTGATCGTTTAATGTACCCTAACATATTTGAATTACTAAAAATACTAGCTATAATTCCAGTATCCACCGCTACGGCTGAACGCAGCTTTTCTACTCTTAGAAGACTTAAAACATATTTAAGAAATACAACTTCTGAGTCCAGGCTAGTAGGACTAGCACTTTTATCCATTCACCGAGACATTGATGTAAATGATGATATGGTATTAGACAAATTTGCCAACAGTGGTAAAGAGAGAAATTTGAATTTAATATAATTAGTATTAATAAGTATTAATAAGAATTATAATTTCTATTTTATTATATAATATTTTGTAAGACTTGAGATTGTGTAACTAATAATAATTATATCAGAATTATAATATTACAATTTTACACTTAATTTCGAAGTCTTGTTTTTAATAGGTTGAGAAATGGGTAAGTTTGGCCAAATTTTTAAAGTTCATTTCTGGATCAGAATTTAGAAATAACTCTTTACACAGCTCTTTTACTCAATTCCTCAGCCCCCCCCCACCCCAAAAAAAAATATCTAAATACGCCCCTGGGACCGACACTGAAATGAATCATAAATATAATTACAAAACAGTAGATTACTAGTGGTTGTAGAACGACCAGAGCGAAAGCCGTGCTGTTCTTCCATAAGGATACAATTTATAGATGGTTGGATAGCATTTAGTACAAGAGACTCGAATGTTTTAGATAAATGAGATTGGATGGATATTGACCGATAGTTAGAAACAATAGACGGGCAACCGGACTTAGGGACAGGTGTAATTGAGCTAATCTTAAACATTGACGGGAAAATACCTTTATCCAGTGACCGCCTAAATAAAACCCAGAGTGGATACGCCAAGATTGACTTTAGTTCAAATAAAAAAGTACCAGAAAGACCATCAGGTCCAATAGACCCGATACCACGCAAAGCAGATAGGCCACGGAAAACATCATTAACACTAAAAACAATATTATTAGAAAGATCAAAGGTAGATATACCTAGTTCACAGACATCGACATCATTCCGTTCTGAAGAATAAACCGAGGAAAAATAGTCAGAAAACAAGTTATCAGTGCCTTGCTCGTCAGAAGTAGTAATGTCATTAAAAGACATTACCTTTGGTATATTTTTACAAGAACGTTTATTGTTAACAAATTTCCAAAAATCTAAGTGATTATCTTTAAGCGATTTTTCAGCACTTTCAATATAATCACGGTAGCATTTCTTGGATTTATACTTAAATTTTGCGCGGATAAACGAAAATTCCTTATAATCTAAACTATTAGACGATGACTTAAACCTTGCATGAGCTTTCTTCTTAAGAAACAATATAAACATTTATATCATCTTTTGATTGGCATTCAACATTTCTCCGGTATGACACTGATTCGGCTTTTAATATTTTTTACGATGCTTTGCATTAATCAGTTATTGATTTTGTTCCTCAGTGTTATTACAAAGAATCTACATATCCGCCTTGGTTTAATAAGAATCTTAAACGTATATTACATAATTTGCCTTCCGAAAATTGAAAAAAGAACGGCTACGATTATAGCGAAGCAAAGGAATACAAGTAGGGAGTGTAATATTCAATGCTGGATGATACTGATCAATAGGAATAAGTGGTTCAACTACTAATCGTTTATCTGTACAAAATACTAAATCCAAAATAGAGCTATGTGAATTACTAACATTGTTAACTTGAAAAAAACCATAAGTACTAAATGATTTAGGAATACAAGGTTCATGCGGTGATGAGGAATAAGAATATGGTAGGCCATATTCATCATTATTACAAGATACCTCAGGAAGATTATAATCTCCGCAAATACTAAAGGTGTGTTCAGGATACCGCTGGAACAAAATCTCTACAGAACTAATATGGGATTTATAAATATGAAGAGAAGATAGAGGAGGAATGTAGACACCACCAACAATAAAGCTGAAAGTACCAATAAAAAAACGGACAAATATGCTCAACATTTAATTTAGTGATTGGAACAGAGTACACAAGAACATCTTTACGTACGCCAATGAGGACACCGCCGCCACGAAGACAATTACTTGTAAAACTACACCTATCATACCTAAAACTATTAAAACTATCGAGACCAAGTTCAGAATTGGAAAAGTTATCGGTTAACCATGTTTTGGTTAGTACAATAAAATCACAATTTTATTATATGAAATTGTTTTCTTATATTTACTGGTTTTATATATTTCCTAATTATAGAATATATTAAATGTATACGAAATAATACTTTTAAATATAATTACTTTAAAAAACACGTTTTTAAAAAAAAAAATATTTTTTAATTTGTTTTATTATAATATGGGCTTTGACTTCAGGGGTCATTAGCCATAAATTTACAATGTTCTTATTTACATGATTTAGTTAGAACTATAGTATATAATATAAATAATATTGTTTACATTTTATCGTACAGTGGTATGGTTCTAAAAAAATTTTTGTTTTTGCTACATTGTGAGGTTGGTTTCCTAGTGTTTCTTGTAGGGTAATCGGCATTTCCAGTTCCTTTCTTGTTTCGTCATATTTGCGACACTCCAGTATTATGTGCTTAATAGTATTATTGGTACCGCAAGTAACACATGGTTCAGGGTCTTTACCTTGCATTAGGTGGTTATGGGTATACCAAGTGTGGCCTATTCTTAAACGTGTAAGAATTACTTCATCTCTTCTATTGTTAGTTTGGTTGGTCCATAATTTGGTGGTTTGTTTTATTTCTCTCAATTTTGTTTCTCTTGATAGGTTCCATTCAGATTGCCATTTTAATATTATTTTTGAATTTATTTCGTTGATGAGGTCATTTGATTTGTATATTTTGAGGAATTCAGTAGTTGGGTCATTTTCTGTGACTTTTGCTGCAGCGTCTGCTTTTTCATTGCCTATTATCCCTGCGTGTCCTGGGATCCAAGTTAAGTTTATTTGTTTATTGGTCAATCGAAAACAGCTCTATTCAATTCAACCGTATTCCTAAATGCGTGAAACGACAATAAATTTTAAAACAAGTAAACATAATTTGTCAATAATTGTTTTTCAATATTTTCTGTAATCGTAGCTTGAGGTTAAGTAATATTTGAATCAATGTAAGACACCATGATTTTTTATCTTCATGTTTATAGCAACAGTAGTTTAAACTTCATATCTGACTAATGTAAATAAGTAAACACAATGAAAAAAATAATAATATTGCTTAGAGTTAAAAAATTTACCTAGGGAAATCTGCAATAAATATTTAGATTTTATTGTAAGTATACCTCAGTCTAATAAAACATATTTTAATTTTCATTATTATTTGCAGACAAAAATGAAACTAATCTATGTGATAATGTACTGTGCTATTTTAAACGTTTTGACAAATGCGGGTATGTAATTCGTTTTTACAAGTATCTACTTAAGGTACTTAGTTAAGGTTTAAAAAAACTAAACAATATTCAATATTCAAATTTTTTACAGATATAATAGAAGATAGAAAGATGCTCGATACTACAAGTCAGTACGCTTTTGTTTACAAAATATTATTTTAAGTTTTAAGACTTACAGTTCTTATACATAATTTATTACAGACATACTCATAGAAATACATATTGGAAAAGGTATGACATACTTAAAATGATTAATACTATAAATTTAATGGTTTTGTTGTACTTGCCATTTGCCTGACTCTAAGGTAATTTATATTTATGAACAATAATATCTATAAAAAAATGTTTTCATTTATTGGCTTTGGAATATATTTTGGCATATATTTCACACGAAATATATGATTACATTATAATAATTCAGTTTGTACAATATTATTGATAACCTAGGATAGATATTATAAAATAATTGTGTAATAAAATTCCAACACGGTTTAACACTCAAAAGGGTGTACACTAATAAAAATTGGCACGGTAAAGATACACAAAAACGCGTCGGCAATTGTCTAAATATGCTATTCCCAAAAAAATTATATCAATACATTATTATTATTTTTAGTTGTACATAGATATAATTTATGATGATTATAGCATATTTGGAACATGGGCGTTATTTTTGGTTCCATTGTTAAGTGACCCTTCTGCTTTAATCTATTATGTGGTTAAATGGGCCATGTTTAACTCAAAATGTACTTCTACTCACAACATTTTTATACATATTATGTCGAATTAAAATTTCGAAATTTTATTTCAATTATTTATTTATTTCAGGGACCATTTGGGACAAAATACAATATTTTGCTTGTCATGATGGTTTCTCAATGGGTAACTATTATTATACAATAAAATCGATTAAGTATGCTAGTAGAAGAATTTTTTTTGGAAACTATACAATAATTGCAAAAACAATTTATCGATGCAACTTTATGAGTGATATAATTTTTAAATTTAAATCACTCAATATTTATTTGTAAATGTAACTTCCTTACTATTATTAAACATGTATTTCTACCTTGACTTAAAAATACATTTTTTATTATCGTAATTTCAGAGCAATTGGCTTTTATGTTTGCAATACCTGGTAACAATTAAAAATATTTCAATATAGTTGTTGGTTATTCACAAGAATAAAACGATTCGTTTTAATTTCAGATCAAAATTTTGATAGCAACCCTGTTAAACGTAATTCATATTTCATATTAGTAATATATTACACACGGCTTTTACATGAGTTTTTAAATTATGAGAAAAATCATATGCATATTAATTTTGCCATAAAAATAGTCATATATAAAAATGCATTTTGTTTTAAATGTTAGAGTATGCATTGGAGCTTCAACTGCAACAAAAAGTACTCAAAGGCTCAGGTAATTATAAAATTCAACATATTTTTACAAACACTTTACAAAACTGAGAATTAAAATTTAATTGTACTTAAAAACATTCGTTTTGAAATCATAGTCATAAACTAAATAGCTTCAACTTAGTGTTAATGATCATTTGATATCATTCTGTTCATTACTCAAAACAGCTACTAGAAATTATTTCAAGTGTTCTAAATTGAATCGATTGTTTATGGAAGGGGTTTAATCCAAAAAGCTTAACTTCGGGTAATTAAAAATAACTGTTTCATATACAATTTTCATTTAAACAATTAATTTTAAATTCTTATGTGTTATACTTATTTCAACTTGTGAATACCAATTTTTAAATTTACTATTTAACCATCAGTATGAGTTTAATTGAACGAATTTGACCCTTTTCATAAACAATGAGTTACTCGAGTAACATGAGTTACTTAACTCCGTTGATGAATAAAATTACTACATCATAAACAGGATTGTGTGCAATAGAGTGATTTAAACCAAAATTACTTTACCCATTTATATATATATTTATGAGTTTTAACCGTATATAGCCACAGAACATATTTTTAAAAAAATATCTAGTTGTTTTTTCCGCTCCACGGAAAATCATTGAATCGCGGAAATGTTATACGGGTCCGTTTAACCATAACGATTATTATATTATGAGATACAATTAATATCACTAAATCTCTATCTTTATGATGATGACGCGAAATCGTATCACGATTTTTCCACGCAGATTTTGGAATGACCAATGACATAATAATATTAATGTTTCTATTACAGACCTTACTGAAGATGATGTAGCAGCTCAAGGTAATTACTAGGGGTTACGGTTTTGAACGGGTAATAAAAATACACGGGTACTCGTATTTGCTACCCGGGTATTAAGAAATTAAAAACCCGGGTACCCGGGTAATTAAAAAACCGGGTACCTGGGTAATTAAAAATACCCGGGTCTAGATCCGGGTCTCTTATTTACACGGGTACCCGTGTCTTTTAATACCCGTGTACCCGGGTAATAAAAAATCCGGGTTTCCGGGTTCTATTATGTACACGGGTATTTAGCAAATTAATTTACAAATTTAAAAAATTATATTTTGGCGAAATGTACGTTGGATTAATTGACTTATTGGCAAATTATTGTACTTCATAAAATGTTTTTATTAATGAACTGCCCGGATATACCGTACTTTTTATGTCAAACAAAACTTCCATAATTTACTCATTATAGTCATGTTAGTAGTAAAGATTGGCGAAGTTGGGAATTTTTTAATTTTTTGTATACCTAATAGTATATTTAAAAATTACACAATATAAATCTTACATTGTATAAAGTATAAACTAGTATTTACTGAAAACAGATGTTGTTAACTACCAAAGTCTAAATACAATGTAATAAAATAAACATTTAGTTAAGGTAACTTTAATTTTGTTGGACTAACCATAAGATTATTAAAAAAAATATTCAGCATATAAAACAAAATATAAACACTGTTTTTTATGGATGCAACCTAACTAATTAATGCGACAAATTATTGTTTTCCTTGTAAAGTAAGAAGTTAGTGAAGCAGAAACAAGGCAATTTTTAATTTTGAATGTCGATGTCTATACTACTAGGACCCGATTAATATGTTATCAATAGTTAATTTACATTCCTCAGAAATACAAATCTCGACAGCAAAATATATAATTAGTATTAAAATTAAATATACTAGATATTTATGTATATATTTAAAATTTAATATAAATATTATATTTAAAACTTATTGTTAAAATAGTAATATCGTAAACACATTTTAGACGTTGGTCGTTGATTTCGAGGCTTATTATTTAAATGAAAAAAATATATTTCTAAACATAAGTACAACTAATAGAACAAATTTTAGTGAATAACTGGGGTTTTCATACCAAGTTGTCGGGTATTTTAACTACTCAGGTGTCCAGGTAATTAAAATACCCGAGTACACAGGTAGTTAAAATACTTGAGTACACGGGTAGTTAAAATACCCGGGTACACGGGTAGTTAAAATACCCGGGTATACGGGTAGTTTAAATACCTGGGTATACACGGGTAATTAAAAATACCCGGGTCTAGATCCGGGTCTCTTATTTACACGGGTACCCGTGTATTTTAATACCCGTGTAATCGTAAGCTCTAGTAATTACGCATTATCCGACAGTTGTAAATAGCGCTTAAAATCTAGATGGTCGTTTGACATTTATTTTAAGTCAATCCAGTTTTCCGTAACGTAATGAGAATAAACTTTTAAAATGAAAAGGTTTAATTTACAAGTTTATAATAAACTAAACACAACATTAAAAAAATATGTGTTCAACAATCTTACGTTCATTTAAACGCTATATATTTTAACGTTAAAAAACTTTTACCTCCAACTGAACATAAAAAATGGTATTTTCATTGAACTTTTAAACTTATAACGTTACACGTTTTAACTTCAAATCCTGCTACCCTGAACTGAATTTTTAACGTTTATTTGCAAAAATTTAATAATCAAATCATTTTTATACGTTCAGTTCAGTGTAACGGTTTTTGAAGTCAAACGTATGACCGTCATAGGTCTTCAAAATCTCTTTACAAAATGATTTATACTTTGTTTAACACATTTATTGAATTTATCAGCTCGTGGTAATAAATCTATACAAGATCTTGGAGATAAACGAAGAAAAATGTTAGACCCAGTTTTAGCATTGTTAATAATCAATATTATGAGCAGTAAGTAATAAACTAATAAAAAAACTAGTTGTGTCACGGAAAATTGCATATTCGGACCAACAAACATTACAGTTAACACTTTAAAGTTAAAATAACAACATAAATAAATCGTCCAACTAATTTTCTAGTTAAAGGAACTACAAATTAGTTCAAAATTTATTTAAAACTTATTCCACCGTTACAGTTTTTTATAAGGTTAATTGTCTGCACTTTAGAGCAAAAATGTATTTAGTAAAAAATTTCAATTTTCCTGGTTTTTTATTCACCTAGATTTAAATCGCACGCTCTATTTACTGTCCTACATGACGTTTGAACTCTTAGATGAGTCCATCTAAGTTTATTTATTTTAAATAATTAGTAAGTTACTTATTAATTAGAGGTTTAGAGGTGGACGTTAAAGAAAAAACGAGTGCCAAGGATGTAAGTAAAAGTAATAGAGGAAATGCATGATATAAGAGTGAAGAGTGTGTGTGGAGAAATGGAATATTTTAGTACGAAAGATATTCAGCGGGAGGTGCCTTGGTGTATGATGTTTACGGATGACGAAGCATTAGTGTGGGAAAGTCTGAAACAATTGGCTGAGAGACTTGAAAAGTGGAGAGAAGTGCTTGAAGACAGAGGACTGAAGATTAGCAGAAGTAAAACGGTGACAATAGTGTTTAATTTTGGAGAATGTTAAAGGGTAAAACATGTAATGCAGTTGGATGATGATTAAGTGTGTGAAGTTGTAGGTTTAGGAAAAAAAAAGTTTGTTATTATTAATTTATAAATAAATAATTAAATTTTTTTCTCTCCTGTAAAATTAACATTTTGTGACTCAATACTCTTTTTCTCTTGAGTGAGGATATCAGATTAGCCTTAATTTTAATTAGTCCAAATATGTATTATTTTGTCAGTACAGCAAGCTGAATTTGGCTAACTTTTGAAAACTTTTTTTTTAGACCCAAGGAGTCACAGAATTGATTTTAAGTACACATGTCGAATCATAGGATTGTTCTGGAGTACAAGAATTCCAGCAAGTTACATAAAAACTGCAATTGTTTTAGATGACGAGACTTGTGTCGTACGCCATGAAAGGGTAGGCAGGAAGTCATTCAAATGCTTTGGGCTTGATATACATTATGTGAACAACATCGACCATACCGATACAGGAAATAGCATAGTTCCTGATTTAACGATATTATGAGCATAAATATTTTCTATGCTCTCAGGTTTATTTTAATAAATTATAATGCACATCTGTTATTATATTTAAATATTTTTTTGCGTGCCAAACTAATATCAAAATTGTTAAATAATTTAACCTACTGCATAATAAAACGTTTTTACTCGCTATTATTAACTATTAGATTTATTTCAGCCATTGGCTTAATATACAGGCTATTAAGGCCCTTTGTCGGGACCACTAGTCCTCTCCATCCATCCCATCTGTCGACATTGCTTCACAATTATTTAATCTTAGTAATTTTAAGTCCTTACATTTTTTTTTTTAGTATATCCATTTTGTCACTTCTCGGACCATTTGCTTGTTATAACAAAAATTAAAAGAAGTGAGAAAATTAATATCGATATCTGTGGTATGAGGTACATTTGAGTGTATTGATCAGTAATACGTTAAAAGCTTTCATTTGAGTTTTTCCGTTTTGTTTGTTAAATGTTTATTTATTTCATATTTTCTAATTTTATTATTACTCTAATATCATTTCCATTGTTTTAAACACACATCAGTCTACTATATGAATTTTCCAAGAAGAAAGTCAACACTTTTTATGAATCGATAATTTAAATAGGTAACACACTTTATTCATTACAGTACACATATCATTTATTAACACCTCTCGTGTAGAACGCCACAAATGGACTAGCTGGGTCACGACCATAAAATTACAAGGGTAGGACCGGTGGGTCAGATCCAAGTGGGGTGACCGGCTACGCCGGCCACGGTGTTGAGCCAGCGCACTGCATTTTAAATTAACGCCGTTATAATTTATAGTACCTTTATCTTATAATCAGAATTCATACCAAGTTTCGCAAGCTAAGTACGGATTAAGTGTAGTGTCAGTAGACATCTGTCAGGTCAGAAACGACCTACTAAAAAAGCGAGTTTCTGATGCTTCTTGCTTAGAGATTAGCGTTACGTATCAGCAGTTTCTTTATACATATATATATATATATATATATATATATATATATATATATAAATGGTGGGGATTGTCCACCATATGCGAGTGCCATACCGGCACTATACAGGGTGTTCAAAAAGTTCGAAAACGCCCCAGCCTATATTATTGTAAATATGCACTTGACAAATAATAAATTCTATATGCGAATTGAATTAACGCACAAATGAAATTTATATTTTAAATAATTTTATTCTTCGTCGCCTTTTTGTTATACTTAATAGTTAATATAAACACAATTAGACTAATAAGTAATAATGTTCGTGACGTTTATTGTAAAACGCAATTTACACGAATAACATACATAAATTCAGAGAGCCATATTTGTCGTGGCAGTGACAATATATATTATAAATTAACATTCAAAGTAAAGTACGTTGGTCGTCTTCAATGAAAATCTGGCCTTGCCTAAAACGTTGAACCATTCAAGGTTACACAATGACTTAAAAAACATCTCCAAAAATCAACTCAAGTCTCCATAACATTTTTATAGATTTAAAAACATTATCCAATTATCACAAATTATTTTCTATCATAGAATCATGGTTTTGTACAATATTTCTGATTTTGAACTTGCACTATAAATAACTAGTTTGAGATAATGACTTTGGTTATAAAATAAGTACTGAAAATAATCTCTATTAAATTTCTATAAAAATAGTGTGTTTTAACATTAATAGTTTATCGGTAGGAATTTTTAAAAACACCTCATATGTAGAGTATAGTAATTGATTTGTAATACATTACGGTGTTTTAATTTTAAAAAACTAGTAACTACTATAATATTTAAAGATAAATTACACTTGCAAAATATTTATTAAAAATTATTATTCTTTAGATACTGGTATTTCATAAACTATACAAATAGCAATCGTTTTGTTTGTTGTGCGATAGATATAATATACCATGGATGGACATTGTTAATATAATATTGTACCACCCTATTTTTAAAATTTCATAATACATATGATGTCCAAAAATATGTTTAAAATAGTTAGGTGTGCTTTGATGGACGCAACAAATACATGGTTATAATTGAGTAGCTAAAAAAGTGTGGTCCATATCAGTAGTTAAGTACATCATGTAACTAAATGTTAAATTTGTATTTCTAATGTGGTTTTTAGGTAGGACAGTTCTCGTTCAATTCTCTATAATGTAAATAATGCGTCGTAATTAAGGAGGAGATATAATTTTGAGCTATTATTGAAAATCAGCTGCTTTCGTTAATTTTATTGAACTCCTATTAAATGTGTATAACTGTTGTAATATTTCCTACTCTTTGCAAGTATAAATATAAAGACCGTCCGTCGTCGTCGTCAGAACAGCTAATAGTTGATAATTTAATAATATAATATATATTTTATTAAATTTAAATTACACATAATAGGGGTTTTATAGGGAAGATCTTGTAGGGCCAATCACTGGAAACTGTCCCCTATTCTTGGCTGTGGTTTCGCTAGATAGTATATAGGGACAATGGTGTTAAAACAATTATTTGTGGTTAAATTTCAATTATGGCACAAGTAATAATACGATAAATTAACGTAATATATTATGTCAATTTTTAAATAAATTATAAATGCAAAATAAAATCACAAAAAAATTTGGCAGTACTTGGTCAGGCATGTTGAAAGGCACACCGTCCGATGCGCGTTTATTAATTTGCTTGATTTATGTTTTCGCATATAAAAAAGAAGCGTTGTACAGGCTCCATTAAGTTGGCCCCCCCACATCGGAAATTTGAACTTCTTTAAACATCATCGGATTGTGCTACGATAGTGCTGGTTTGTGCCGAAAACCCCATCGTTAGTGCTCCCCCCGTTCCAAAGTTATACCGTTTTCAAAGTGGGGGGCCATCTTAACGATAGCCCCCCACATCGAAAATTTGAATTTCTTTAAACATCATCGGATTGTGCTACGTTAGTGCTGGTTTGTGCCGAAAACCCCATCGTTAGTGCTCCCCCCGTTCCAAAGTTATAACGTTTTCAAAAACACATTGTGAATTACAATTGTTTTCAGTATCGCCGGGTTCTGCATTATAAAGTATATAACATGTAAATAGTATATATAATTTTTTTACGTAGTAGCTACCTAATTGTTTTATTATATTATGTTATTAACTGGTAAGTAAATGAATACATACATAATAGATATTTTTAAGAAAACTTATACATAAATATAAAATTTATAAAGAATGTTTTTATTGCTATAAACATCATATAATATATGAAAAAAATATATTAATATATCGTGGAGATATACTATTATTTTTATATTGGAATAATATTCTTATAACAATTTTATGATATTTTAAATGTTTTATAATTTGTTTGTGTTTTCCGGGATTATTTTATGACATTTATTTAAGCGAATTGAACTTTTCGAAACATCTTTGTATCTTTAATGTGAAATATTATGCCTCTACAAGCTTCTGCAAGTACTTATACGAAAGATAACTATTAATTAGCTGTATCAAATACAAATGAAATTTGAGTTCAAATAATATATTCTTTAAAATATTTAATTATTATATTTCTCTATAAGACACCGTGCATTAGGACACTCAGCGCTACAGTAGGCAACAACAGAAACTATTAATCCCATAAGAATGCATTGCAAAATGTAAAAGTTTAATTATTTGTTATTTTAAAATTGATTTTTGTATAATTGATTGTTTTAATCAAGTTGTTTGATACACAAAAAATGAATAAACTATTCGTTTTTACAACCGTAGAGCTTTTTAAAACGTCTTTATTACACGTATACACAAGTCACCCACATTAAATCGATCGTTATCCACATCAGTTATTATGAAGACATTTTCAAAGATATTAGATAAAAAAATACATAAACTTCTAAATAGGTAAGTAAGCTACATACATAATAGATATTTTTAAGACAACTTTTACTCAAACATAAAATTTTCATACCAATGTGTTAAATGAAAACATTTATCATACTTTAGTACAAATAAAAAAAAACTGATTATGTCATAATATTCACACAATTAAAATAATACTTTAATCAAATAAAAATAGGACTCTTTTATAACCTAAAACTTTTTTTATATCAATTGAATAATTTTTTTGATAACTTTGATAACTAAATTAAAATAAAATTATACATTTGTACAATCTGTTATTTGGAGTACATAATTATATTTACATTAACACGCGTGTTCGATTGCATGTTGACATAAATTTCCCACATATTATTACTCCGTCGGCACATTGCAATATAATGACCAATAGTTGACAATTTTAGATTGTCACCAACCGTAAATATAATACAACCACGTAAATGATAGTCAGTACTCTTTAATTTTATTGATGTAGGAATTTCATGTAGTGGAACTTGCACAAAAGATCCTACATCAGAATTGTAACATTTTGTGAACTCATAATTCGGCATTAATTCAATAAAAAGCTTTTTAGAACGTCTTTATTATACGTATACACAAGTCACCTACATTAAATCGATCGTTATTCACATCAGCGTGTTAAGTTCAATTCGCTTAAATAAATGTCATAAAATAATCCCGGAAAACACAAACAAATTATAAAACATTTAAAATATCATAAAATTGTTATAAGAATATTATTCCAATATAAAAATAATAGTATATCTCCACGATATATTAATATATTTTTTTCATATATTATATGATGTTTATAGCAATAAAAACATTCTTTATAAATTTTATATTTGAATATAAGTTTTCTTAAAAATATCTATTATGTATGTATTCATTTACTTACCAGTTAATAACATAATATAATAAAACAATTAGGTAGCTACTACGTAAAAAAATTATATATACTATTTACATGTTATATACTTTATAATGCAGAACCCGGCGATACTGAAAACAATTGTAATTCACAATGTGTTTTTGAAAACGTTATAACTTTGGAACGGGGGGAGCACTAACGATGGGGTTTTCGGCACAAACCAGCACTAACGTAGCACAATCCGATGATGTTTAAAGAAATTCAAATTTTCGATGTGGGGGGGACAACTTAATGGAGCCCGTTGACACATCTAGCCACGGCGGGATACAAGTAAAACGTCCCAGACCGGGCAAACTTCAACTTGCAAAACAGCTGCTTTCGTTAATTTTATTGAATTTTATTTTAAATGTGCATAACTGTGGAATTGAAGCTTCGCCACCCGATGCTATACTTACAACTACGGTCGTAAGTACCAAAAAATCGTCAAGTTACCCAATAGACATTGTTTTGTTATTAGGAAGATTTGCCATACAAACTCTGACCAGGCCGCCGTCCTATCCATATGGACCAAACGGTATAATCTTTAATAATCAATGTTATACTCTTTCGTCTAACTCGATATCTAAACTCGATTAGGTGTTAGAAAAATTAGTTTTCAAGGAGACAACTTAAAAAATCTAAATAAATCACAATCCATAGGTACATACAATACGTTGAATGTTGTTATGGGAGTACACACGTTAGTTATCGCCGAAACTCTCTCCGCCGACCGTATTGGTAAACCGATTATACATATACGTTTTGTTGAATTATTTCAATGTTATTTTAAGTGTTTATGTTGTATTGTTTGTACTAGTTTGAATAAATTGTCTACTTAATGTAAATAAGTAGACAATGATAAAACTCGATCCCCGACCTGTCACGCGAGAGACCGGGGTTCGATTCCCCGCCGGCGAGCCATGTTTGACGGGGTTTGATGGGGCCGTTGACAAAGTCAGCGGTACCGTGTCCAAATACACGCTAGATAAATATTACTGCTCTCCACCTTTTATCCCGTCATACATTTTTAATTTAAACCATTGAGTGCATATACTCAATGATTAAACCTTTAGAATAATTTAAAACTGGTCGTTTAGTCTAGTCGAGATTTCTTGAAAATTATTCTTAATTTAAAAAGGCAATACCTACATACGCCACCGTTCGAGTTTCAAAAGTTGACAGAATTCTAGAATTTACCAAAATAACCATTTCATTATTGTTAACACTATACAACACCATTAGTTTTAATGTTTTAAAAAAAAAAACTACAAAATTGTTGATTTTTTTAGAGTGGTTTACGTTTGTGGACCACTCTGTACAAAGCATAAACACACAAACATGCACTTGTGATTTTATAACGCCCTGGTATTGTTTTTTTACTTTATAGCTTTAATTTAGTCGGTTCCACATCTGTGCAAACTTGTTTTTAAAATTCTGCAGCAAAAACATCTTGTTATTCTACCATGCAAATGTTTTCATTATTTCGTTGTGCTGAAACGGTTAAAGCAGTCTACATTGCACTCATTTATAAGAGAAAAATGAATTGGAAAATTATGCTTATTTTTGTGATTGCGTGTTATATTGAATCAAGTAATTCAAGAGAAATGGTAAATAACGATTTTATACTAATTAGATAACTTGATCATTTAAAATGATTCATACCTATTCGAAACATGTTAATATAGCTTAACAGATAACGTACCTATATATTAGAATGTGGCTAAAAAACATTTATTTGCTTACCCCACTCGTTCAAAAGTAGCCTATTTAAACAAAAAATTACTACAATTTCAAAATTAAAAAATGTTGATTAGTTTCCAAGTTAGAACTTTGAGAAATGAAAATTCTCTAAGTTAGTTAAATGCAAGACGAACAAAGATTATTATATTAGTGGAAAACAACACTTGAGACTAATAATATTTGTTTAGTAGACTTAAGAATAATTTAGACTTCTTAGTACCAAAAAGCACTATAAATATCATCAAATGGTTGAAATGTATAAAAGGGGAGACAGGAGAATTTTTTTATCAAAATTCCTTTGTACTAACAAATCCTTGATTGACATAAGTTTAATTAATGCTATTTCAAGTGTATCAGCTTTATATTTTATTCATTCAAGTCAGAAGGAAATTAAATAGTTAGAAATAAAATTGTGAGACTGAAATATGAGATAAAATTAGAAATTATTATGTAATGTGTTTTCAAATTATATATTTCCATTAAGTGTCAGCCGACTTTTTAAACTTGACGCTACTTTGGCTACTCAGGAGATTTTGTTTAGCCTAGAACACTTGGATAGTTTAAGAGACGTTTGACGTTTTATTATTTAGGGAAAAAAGTAACACTTGTTTAAAATAAAACAAACACAATATGTTAAGGTACAAAAAACAAAAATAAAATTCACACAAAAACACAAAGTATCACAAATTTGGAACGCATGCAAAAATTTACAATAATACTCACCTAGTGTCGACTGAAAAAAAAAAAAAATTGTAATTTTTATGTTTACTGTATTAACAATAATTGTTGGTTCTGTTTTACCGTATGCCATTTGACCTACATTTATTGCTTGTACACTTTTTAGTATGTTGTATTTATCTGAAAAACAAGCAACAGCCAAGTTGTAAGATAAAACAATAATATATATATATATATATATATTATATATACATGGTGATAATTGAATCGTGAACCACTCAATATCTCAAAGGGTTCAATAAAACAATTAATTTTTTTTTCATATTGTGTTTATACAATGTAATCTCAATTTTTCACATATTTTTTTTTACCTTTTGTAATTTTTAAAACTTGAATGGTAATCAGTAATGTATACATTTTATTAACTTTTTAAATTAAAAATAATGTACTCAACATTTTGACTTGTCGAAATGGTTTTTTTAAAGTTATAAGAGTTAAAAATCTAAGATGGGAAGGGAAGTGTGGTTGAAAAGTGTGCGCAGATAAAAATAATTGAAACTTCAGTAACTTCAAAAATAGTTATCAATGTTGCTAACAACGGTAAAAACGGTAAGAGAAGGGTAAAAACAAAAAAATTATGAAAAATTAATTTCACATTGTATAAACACAATATGAAAAAAAAAAATGTTTTATTGAACCCATTGAGATATTGAGTGGTTCACGATAAAATAATTATCCTGTAAATATATGTTGTCGATAAAAATGGAACAGGCAAGCCACTTAGAAAAACTGTAATTCTTCAAATAGTGAAAATATGTTTCCACATTTAATAAGCCCATAACTTGAATTCATCTGAATGCCATGCTAGCTTAAATTGTTTAAACACTAAGGTTTTTTCCCAAAGAAACCTAAACATATTGGGAGCGGTTCTATGCGCTAACAGTTGTATTGTATGACAATAATTTTGAAAAATATAACAAAGGTAATGAAGAGCGGAAAAAAGAGTTCAATTGGGCAAAATTGGTTTCAATTTGGGCAAATCAAAACCCCATGAATACTAAAAACTAATAAACAAAACAATTTAAAAAAAAAATAGCCAGGCTGGAAAACAAGATACATTTATCAGTCATCAAATCATCCCGTCTTTAATCTACTATTACTTACCCATCTGTCCTGCACAAAATGTTATCTTGGATTTCCTTAGATTATTAGCTGACCAGTTATGAGCAACCGATTCCATCATCTGCACCTTCTCCTGATATCTAAGCAAGTTAGTCTTAACAAATTATCACGTGAATTAAAATAATACTCTCCATAAAAACCTCTCAACGGATTCAACGTCATCAAAACTTCCTACAAGCGATTCTATTTCAAACTATACAATGGCCACCATCTTCGAACTTGTGTCTTATCCGTTTTTTACTATCTCATGTGACCTTCGAAGAGCTTCTAAATTAATACAAATTTCTCGGGATACCATAGGATTCTATCAATGTGTGATTTTGTTTATCAAAAACCCTGCATTTTTACATGTATATAAGTATTTATTTATACTATGGAGCAACCACTAAGTTGATACGTGTGAAAATGTATTTAATTTTAATTTTGTATTGTGTCTTTCATTTGTAGAAATGGAGAAAGGAGAGTCAACTAGAAGAACTGTACGACAAGGAATTTTTAAAATCGTTAACCTTTGTGTCAACTTTGGATAACTTCAAAATTGAACTCGAAGACAATGACATTAAATTGCTTTCATCTGAATGTGAAAATATCTCAAATTTTAATAACAAAAAGAAGTCCATCGAAAAATATCAAAAAATAATGAAAGCGGTCTTATTTGTTAACCAAGAATATATAGGCATAATTATGAAACAATTAATAAAGGTAATCAATAGCAAGGATAAGAGTTCGTTAGAAATGCTAGTAAAGCATTATTTTTTCTATGTAACTCGCATTTTTTCTATGTTACATGTAGCCCAATGGGGACCTCCTAAATGGCTAGTCACATTTTTTTTATTTCTCAATGATCTAGTTACTAAGGATTTACAGTCATTCGAATTTGATGAAGAACTGATTAAGCGATTTGAAGATTTGGATTTTAATCGTTTAGAAAAAATTACAGATGTTACCTGTAATGATAATGACGTTTTGTTGAAAATCGAAGTACTTTACAACAATGATAAGCTACAACAAGCTTATGAGCACGCAGGCTATATGGCTCCACAAAATTTAATGTTGTTTCACTTGTACGAAAGTTATTATAGTTTTACACATAATTCAGAACTAAAAATCGTTTTGGACTGGGAAAGCGTTAATTCAGCATTTTCCCAAATCACCTATTTTAATAAATATAATTTGTTAAATGATCCTTACAATGGAGATTTGGTACACTTTTATGGTACTTATCATACACTGTTATTACAGTGCATTCAAGTAAGAATTCTCTTCTATATGTGGTTTCACGTAAAACTAATCGTCAACATGCTATCAACGTGTTCAAAATGCGATCTTTTCTTAAGCAAATTGTTTCCGTCGAAATTAGAAATACTTCAATACTGGCCTAATCTTGCAGATCCTCTAAAACACATCATGCGAATTTTTTCAATTAAAGACGACGTTTATTGGTTTACACTTCGTAGTATGATAGACAATACAAGACAAATCAAGAAAAAAGAGATTTTAGAATTAGAAATCATGTTAAAAAATGAATTTCTAAGCATGGTGAAAAAATTAGAACTTGGAGAAGAAAAATATATTACCGAGCAATTGGAAACACTGTCCACTATAAGAGACCCGGCAAAAGTGAGCGCTGAAAAAAATCTTAATGACACATTTGAAAAAATCACTGCTAATTCTAAAGACTTAAAAACATATACAAGTCAGTTACAAAAATTGTTAACGCCAGTCGACACTTCGTGTGTTAGTTGGTTCTTTGACAAAACTCGGTCAATTGATTTCCCGAAACAGGATGAAAAAAATTAATTTTTTGATTCATCAACTGGTGAAATTGCCATTTTTTGCAAAATGTTATAAATGACTTTACTAAATAACAATTTATAATTTATAAAGTTCAATAGCTAATATAATTGTTACGATACTTAAGTCTAATTATTACTATAGACCACTAAGATATAATTAAACTTAAGTACCGTAACAATTATAATTCTAATTCACTATTATATTATATTCGCACTAAATCAAAAACCCCGCTACTATGATATTATAGTTTTATTATCTATAATCACATTATTATGTCTGTATTATCCTAAATATTATAAATAATAAAACAACGTGATACTTGTACATTGATTTTGAAGGCACGATATAACGTACACATATTTCAATGCATATACATTTTCTCGTGGGGTTCGCATATTTTGAAACTATACTCAGTTAAATTAAGTAGGAAATCACTATAGACAAACGTAATTAGTCGAGATAACATGTAAAAATCGTATTAAATTGGCTAAATACAAAGACGTAGACCCCACAGTTACAGTATCTTTATCTCCTACTTTAAACATCCGATTAGCAATACGATGCTTCTGTAGCAAGTCATCTCTTTCCCAACTATACTATAAATTTGCATACCGATAATCAAATATACAAGTATCATATTATCTTATATTTTAAAACAAAGTGTTCCTTTATTTATTTTTTATAAATATTATTACATTATTTGACGACCAGTGGACACAGTTTTTGCATACGCCTTTAGTATATAGTCGGCACATTATAATTTATGGTTGCCAACGTGTTTAAACGGATTCTTTGATTTAAACATTTTGCATCCAACCGCTTTTCGCGAAGATATGGCAAATCAAAGTCGAGAATGAAGGGGTTGACTTTTCCTACTTTTGGCCCACCAAAGTACTAGTCGCATACGATTTCATACCAATAAATGTGCTACTCATGTAAATCGGTTCACAGGAAAATAAATGAAAAAATGTTTAATATAACAACATGTTTGCGCCATGAAGTTTTGTGAACTATTACCAGTTATACATGTATTACATATGATTTTATTCCAAAATACTGTCCTTCATAAACATTTTTTTTCAAATACTCTTTTTAGAGTCTTCTCAAATTTTCTAGAATATGTTCGGTTAAAGGATACTTTTATATATTTTTTGGATTGAACAACGTTGCCAATGATGATCATTACTATTTCATAAGTTTCCCGAAAAATTGTCAGATTGTTTCTAAACATGCTTGGGAGATACTGTGTACGCTTAAAGGTCTTTTACACGCTAAAAATAGTCTACTTATGAAAAAGTACATTTATAAATATAATTAGTATATTTTCAAAAATGACTACCTACAATAAAATTATTGATTGCACAAAATGGTCTAATACAAAAAAAGTGTACTACAATAATGTAAACTAAAAAATACCAGTACAGTGGGGTGGGGGCATAGTGGGGACGGAGCATAGTTGGGCCGGGGTATAGTGGAGACGGGGAGGTCTCAGGTTTACGGAAATTTTTGAATCTGAAAGTGATAATGTCACTTTCGAAAAAACGCTTCAATGCAAATCGGTAGTTTTTCAAGCCAGTACAATCCAAACCAAGCACAATATAAACCAGCAAAATAAATGACAACTGTGTAGCTTAGTTCTTTTAAAATTAATTTTAATGTTTTTGTTTTAAAATAAGCCGTTAAAAAAAACAGCCAAACTACATATTTTAAAGTCTAACAAATGCGAAAATATTTTAATATCAAGAAATGTAATTTATAGTTTTACAAGCATAAGTCGCAATGGAGAATAAATAAATTTGCGATGCTCTTTGCAAGATACACGTAAATTAACTTGTATTACAAATTTAAAAAAATTGACAGAGGTAATAATTATTTAGAAGCAACATACTCATTTAGCTAATTGCAACCAGGAAATATCGTAGCAGCTGAACTCCAAGATATTCAGAATAAAAACAGCACTTTAGAATTTACCAACAAATATATCAATTTGGCTATAATGTTAACACTATAAAACACCATTATTTAAAATATCTCATCTATCCCCACCTGTGTAAACTTGTGTTTAAAATTTAACAGTATAAAGCATAAAAACAAGTTAACCTGTTGACTAAGAACATCTTGTTATTCTAACATTTGAGTGTTTTAATATTTCATTGTGTTGAAACATTAAAATCAGACTACGCTACCGCATTTATACCAGAAAAATGAATTGGAAAATTATAAACTTTTTTATGATTGCTTATTATATTGAATTAATATTAACAAGATGCTCAAGTGAACCGCCAGAAAATATGGTAAATAATAACCAGATTAACCATTAGTTTAAATGTCGCAACAAATAAAAGATTCAAAATTGTAATTTGTTAATAGTGTTTTACATTTGCGGATCATCCACAACATAACGATTAAAATCATTTTTTAAATATTATATTCGATTCACCATTATGCTAAGACTTCTTCACTATGCTCGCTTAATTTTTATTTAAAAAAAAAAACAATAATACGTATAAGTTTTAACTTTATTTGCTGTATTTAGTTTCAGAGCATGCTTTTGTTTACAATTTTTGTATCGCACAGCCTGATGTTATTCGCATTATATTCTCCAAGTGATGTTTAACAGCTGCGATATTTGGTTTGCATTATAATGGCGCTACAGGGTGGTCCATTTTACGTTGAAAACTCAACATCTCTTAAAACAACTAAATATAAAATTACTAATAAGTAAATATCTATCTTTTTAGTATTTTACCGAGCTCTATCAACTTTAAAATCATATTATATGTTAACGCGCATTTGATTTATTAATTTAAATGTTAACACTAATCAACAACAGTTAAAATGTCTCAAAAAAAAAAAAAACTACAAAATTGTAATTTTTTTTGTGATTTACGTTTGTAAATCACACAAACATACACTTGTACTTTTATAACCCGTTTTGGTGTGCAATAATGTATATGGGCCAAAGCGCTTAATATGAACAAACGTTTGGACCGACACCCTCCTTCGATTTTTTTTGAAAATTACACTGTATGTCTGTTACAATAAAAAACAATGATTTTCGATTATTTTAGCCATGATTGTAAAAAGTGTTTTGAGTTTTTGTATGAAAGGTACAAAAGCCAACATAGTTAACAAGTTGAAGGTCCGTTACAAGGAAATTAAATAGTTGGAAGTAAAATAGCGACGCTGGAATATGCGATTAAATTAGAAATTATTATGTGTTATCAAATCATTTATTTCCGTTAAGTGTCAGTCGATATTTTAAACTTGATGCGACTTTGGCTATTCAGAAGATTCGTTTTAGCTTAAAACACTTGGATTGTTTGAAAGACTTTTGAAGATAAGTCACTTTATTATTTAGGTAAAAAAGTAACACTTGTTTAAAATAAAACAAACACAATATGTTAAGGTGAACAAAAACAAAGCAAAAGCAAAGTATCACAAATTTGGAACGCATGCAAAAATATACAATAATACACACCTAACGTCAACTGAAAAATATTGTAATTTTTGTGTTTACGACAATTGTTGGTTCTGCTATACTGTTTGCTTATGGCCTATATTTGTTGCTTGGTTTCATAAATATACATTTTCTCGCTCCTACTAAACAGTACATAGGGCATCTCCCTGTCGTAAACCTGAGTTTACTTCAAAGGATGATGGCAATTCTCTCAGAAATTACACTTTAAATTCTGTTTTTTTGTAGCACAGTTTTATCATATTAACGTAATTTTTTGGTATCACGAAATGGATCATTGTGTTCCATAACTCTTCCCTATTTTGTGCTATCATACGCCTGCTCATAGTCGACGAATACCATGTGTAGGTCTTTGTCAAATTCGTAATGTTTCTCCATTACTTGTCTCAGAATAAATATTTGATCCGTCGTTGACCTTCCTTTTCTAAAGCCACATTGGTACCGTCCTATAATCTCTTCGGCGTATGGAGTTATCCTCTCTAAAAGAATTGTTGATAATACTTTATAGCATGTAAATATGAATAAATATATATCTATATATATATATTGTCGATAGAAATGGAGCCGGCTTACCACTTGGAAAAATTGTTCATAAAATGGTAAAATTATGTGTCCACATTGAATGAGTCATTGACTTCCTATCTTTTCTGCAAAAAATGTTATCTATGTTTTCCTTAGACCATTACTTAACTTGGGCACCCCATATCCACATCAATTGCTTTAAACAACCAACCCCATCAACTGCACCTCCTCCTGATATCCAATCAAGTTAGTCTTGTACAAACTTTATTCAAAACCAATTTGATCAACAACAACATGGTGCTAAAGAACTTAGTTATATTATTATTTTATTCATATCCCTTATCCCAATATATTAATTAATGTCGACAACCATTCCATATACTCAAATACTACTTTCGTATGTTGTGTTTGCATATATATAAGTATTCTTTTCCACTAATTTGTTCCGTTGAAAATGTATTTAATTTTAATTTATAATTATGAATATTTGATTTGCAGGAATGGAGACAGGAGAGTCAACAAGAAAAACTGTATGACAAGGGGCTCTTAAAATCGTTAACCTTTGTGACAGCTTTGGACGACCAAGACGTTAGTTTGCTTTCATCTGAATGCCAAAATCGGTTAAATTGGATAAAAAAAAAAGAGTCCATCAAAAAATATCACGATATAATGGAAGGGATCTTGAGCGTTAACAGAGAATATATGGCAATAATGTTGGACAATATAATACATTTAATGAAGAGTGAGGAAAAGAGTTCGTTAGAAATGCTAGTAAAGCAATATTTTTTGCATATAACTCGCATCTTATCGTTGTTACATGTAGCACAATGGGAAGTTCCTATATGGCAAGTTAAATTTTTCATATTTCTTAATGATCTAGTTTCTATGGATTTACAATCCTCCGAATTTAGCAGTGAATTGATAATGAAATTTAGAAGTTTCGAATTTATAATTTTGGGAATATGTATAGGAAATAAAAGAATGAATACACGTGATGTTTATG